GTCTTGGAAAAGTCAATGTCATGTGAGCCTACTGAATTATAACAATGATCTGCCACGGCCGAGGTGTTGGTCCTACCGTGTTTAAGGTCTGCTTTGTGTTCACGAATGTGGTCTGAGACATGGCGTTTGGTTTCTCCAATGTAACTACTACCACAGAGGCAACTTAGTTTGTAGACACCAGGGTGCTGTATGTCCGGAATCACATCTTTTACAGACGGAACCAGATCACGGATTTTATGTAATGTGTTGAAACGGACCTGGATCTTGTGTTTATTCAAGATTTTGGAGATCTTTTTTGTGATCCCCGCAATGTAGGGTAAAGTGATGGTTTTGAAAGGCTCCTCAAGAGGGTCCTTCTTCATGGTTTGAGTGATATCTTTGCGGATTGTATAGTCGAAGTAACCATTAGCCTTAAGAGCTTGGTGTACGTGCTTGAGTTCACTGCCTATGTGTTCCTGGTCGGATATGCATTGGGCTTTATGATACAGAGTCTTGATGAGATAATTCTTCTGTGATGGATGGTGGTGGGAATCCGGTTTCGGATTAACATCCGTATGGGTAGCTTTCCTGTAGACAGAGTGGCTCATTGAACCATCAGGTCTCTTTTTAATTAGGACATCCAAAAAAGGTAGCTTGCCATCTTTTTCGACTTCCATGGTAAATCTGATGGAAGTCGAAAAAGATGGCAAGCTACCTTTTTTGGATGTCCTAATTAAAAAGAGACCTGATGGTTCAATGAGCCACTCTGTCTACAGGAAAGCTACCCATACGGATGCTTATCTGAAACCGGATTCCCACCACCATCCATCACAGAAGAATTCTCTCATCAAGACTCTGTATCATAGAGCCCAATGCATATCCGACCAGGAACACATAGGCAGTGAACTCAAGCACGTACACCAAGCTCTTAAGGCTAATGGTTACTCCGACTATACAATCCGCAAAGCTATCACTCAAACCATGAAGAAGGACCCTCTTGAGGAGCCTTTCAAAACCATCACTTTACCCTACATTGCGGGGATCACAAAAAAGATCTCCAAAATCTTGAATAAACACAAGATCCAGGTCCGTTTCAACACATTACATAAAATCCGTGATCTGGTTCCGTCTGTAAAAGATGTGATTCCGGACATACAGTACCCTGGTGTCTACAAACTAAGTTGCCTCTGTGGTAGTAGTTACATTGGAGAAACCAAACGCCATATCTCGGACCGCATTCGTGAACACAAAGCAGACCTTAAACACGGTAGGACCAACACCTCGACCGTGGCAGATCATTGTTATAATTCAGTAGGCTCACATAACATTGACTTTTCCAAGACAGAGGTTCTTTGTAAGCCATCTGGCTACCATGAGAGATTCGTTCATGAGGCTATCCACATATACAAGCACAGAGACAATTTCAACCGAGAAGATGGATTCTGGCTTAGCAATCATTGGAAAGATTTGATTAACCATTTCAGGTCTTAATTGATTGTTCACGCTTATAGTGGCTTTCAGACAGCACGCATTAATTTTTCGTCTCCCCCCTCCTCTTTTCAGAACATAGATGGACTAGTCCTTCTAAATAAACTGCCAAAACGCTGCGCGTGGCGCTGACGTTTTTTATAAATAAATACCGTTTAAAAATAAATAAATTAATGCAAAACCGACACACCTGATGACGGCCGTTTGTGTTATGGTCGAAACGTCGTGAGAATTTTTATTGTTTTATAAATATTTTATTATTTTATTGTTTCCCTTCAACGTGACTTCACCGAAAGAGCTAAGAATGTGATAGTGCTTAATGCTAGCGACACAGAAATGCTACTTGCGTTGCGAGTACTTAACCCAGCATGCAACAGCAGTCGGGCTTGTTTTGCGGGGCAACAACGATTCGCAGCGCAAACCTCCGCTGGAGCGTGACCCGCGGATGATTTGAGTGAAGCGTGGCGATGTGAATCGGCAAATGCACCGCATGCTCATCCACACAGCCTCGCATACAGATCACTGAGATTAGCCCAGTTCTCATCGCTGCCAGCAACAGGTGCGGGTCCTTCATGAGCCAGCTTTTTGCTTTCGACCTGTGTGCCTTGTCTGAGTTTGTGTTTGTGTGTGTATATATATGTGTATGAGGGTGGCTGAGCATGATGCTCTCCACACCGCTCCTTTTCTTCCTCCTTCCGGCCTTAATAGGCGCTCATGAACAACACATGCCCCAACAGTCTTGAAACCCATACATGGGATCGCTTGTCTTAAGTTCAATATCGGTGAAGCGGATAGTAAATGATGTCGTTATTGGACTTCTGCGCTTGTGCCTGTTTCCCCACCCACTTTACAATGCACTTTCTCATTTCCTACACTGCGTTTCGCTCGCAGAGTGACGATATTTAAGGGAAGATGCAGTCGCTACTATATTTGTACAAGATATGGGTATGGGTGATAATGAGAGTGTACATTTCCATATACGTTGTCACGCGGCTTGCTTTGAACGGGTCTTTTGGCAGAAAAAAAATGCACTTGTGATGTTCAGAGTGGTTTTAACCTCATCGCTGTTTAAGTGTATGTAAAGAACAAAATCGTCGCCGGCTTGTGCTCAACGTACTGACACTGAGATGCAAAGTCTGATTTCCAGCGGTTGCGTGTCATTAGAGGCTCCGCAAGGCGGTTGGCGCATTTAAGCACTCGAGGCCATCATAACTAAATTAGAGTTGAGTGGTGCCCCTCGTATGCACAGATAATTATGGGAGCACAACTGAGAGTGCTTTGCTTTTGTTGACTTGCATTTTCATCCACGCCTGGCTAATAGCAGCGCGTCAATTAGGAGTCGGCCGCCGTAATTTTAAACATGCAGTCGTCCTGTTGTTGTGATACATCGTTTGTAAATAAAATGCTTAAATCTTAATTCCTGATTTGTGGTCATTCAAGTGTTTTAATTTTGACATGATTAACAATTAAATGCACACAGCTAGTTTAATTAAAATGAAAACTATTTTATGAACATGAGCCTTCTTGTATGGTGCATAACCGCAGCCCAAATTCATTGAATGTAATTTGATGAACTGTACATCGGCAATGATGTATTCTTGTCAGCTCCACAGCCGAGAAGCTTTAAATATTTTACACATCATTTGTATCGAGTAACGGTGCACCTCTCTTAAGTCCACGTGTGATAGCCGCTGGCGATGAAATGCATTTTTTGTACAATGCCCTACTTCACCGTAAGACACTCACACCTGCATTAGCCTTGAATATGAACGGTGTGATATTTAAACGTGTTCCATTGTGGAAGATCAATGTAAACGTATGGGGAATCAATTGTGTTCCTCGCGGGAGGCCAACATAATATTACTGATTGAATTTCAGTTTTTGGTAGAATTTCTTGGAAGTGTCAGATTAATACAAATAAAGCATGGCCTCGTTTTTGCAAATAACATTGCCCTCCAAATTTTAATCGAGAGATCAAAACGAGCAGTACTATCTTAAGCATATGTCAATGACCAACGATGAAAACAGTGTTTAGCGTAAGGACTAAAGCCCGGTTTTCCCGGTTAGGTTAAAAAATGTATACTGGGAGAGAGAAAAAACTTACGCAGATTTCTGTTAGGCTGCCGATCGATGATAATCCATTGTAAACTCGAATGAATGTCATGAATTGAATTCTGATCACATGCTGCGCAAGAGCAGTTCAGGGTCGAGCGCAAGGACCCTTGAGGTCATTGTGCTGGGTTCTATTAAATCTTTTTTCCCTGCATTCACGGGCAGAAGCGCGGTGTGGGGAAACTAGAGATAGGCCGTTGTGCACCTTTGTCTGGGCTCTTGGTGCGTCAGGACGACGGTATTCCCAAGCAAGCCGTAGTGGATGAAACGATACAAAACTGTTGTCGTCCGCTGGCTACGCTGAAACCGTACCGTGCTGCTTAATGCGTACACGGTAATTCCTCGCTGTACGCAGTCGGTGCGTTGCCAGAGCTTCGTTCGTTTATTGAAGCTTCGTATATTGAATAGCTTATAACGTTAGTACTCTGAGGATGCGTTCCCAGCCTTCGTAACGTACCATTTCATCTAAATTTCATAGCTTACCATTCATATTGTAAACAAAGACAATTTATGTTTTTTATACTGTACGGTATTGATATTACAAGCTGACGTAAATAAAAGAAACAGTGTACTGTACTATGTTAAAACTCATCATTGTTGTCTTTGGTGCAGTCATAAGATTGTGTTGTCCACCAAACACCACAGCTCCGCTGATTGGCCGAGACGAATGTAAACAAACGTTCTGCACGTATTCTTATTTATATAGCACCGCAGGCGGATAATTTTATCATTTGCGCATTTGAGTGTTTTCATTTGTTACCTTTATATTTTTTCCCCCGTTAAAATAATGGTAAATAAGTTAGTTATACTGAAACGTCGTACATCGAATATTCGTACATCGTGGTATTGATGTGTGCTGTCGGACAGGGCTGCGGGGCCCGGGGAAAACCCCTTGGTGGGAAACTGAACCGAAAGTATTACATCTGATATCGTGACGTCGAACCGCGGTGGTCCCCCAAAGCGCGGGGCCCGGGGCAGTCGCCCCAATCCACCATACCCTAGGGGGACTGCTCTGGTCTTGGCTCTGTGCCATGATTCTGGAGGAGAAGTTAAAAAAGAATGGTTGCTAGTTTTGAAAAGCAATTTGCTCATTGCAATCTGTTTCTGATTTCCAATGAAATCCTTAATAAAGGGTCCCGTGTTGCTATGCTGCGAACACACGCCGTTGCCTGCGCTGTGGGTATTCACCCGGGCTGGTATTTTTAAATGGCCTCTGCGTTGTCGTGCTTTGTTGCTTCTGTGTGTGGCTGGCCATCAGGAGTGAGTAAACCTGTACTGACAAGGTCCTTTGGGATGCGCTGCGATCGCTCATTACCACCGTTGTTGTATGCCACTGTGCACTCACGGATTCGTGTCTGGTGTGTGTGTGCGCGTGTGCCCATTTGTGTACGTCTGTGTGCGTGTATTTTTCTGCCCTGTAGGTTAACGGAGCCTGTTGGGGTCATCACTGATGGTCCCAGCAACTACAAATATAAAACCAAGTGCTCGTGGCTCATCCAGGGAGCGTGAGTACTTCTTCTTTAAATCACACCACTGTAATGGACACACTGCGGGTCCACACACCTCTTGAATTAGGATTACCTCTTCATCTGAAATGGGCAAAACGATAAACATGCGTATTTACTAGCGTCCCAAGTTGTGGCAGTTCCACCCATGCACTCCAATGGTGATGGTGTTCTATGTACGATTCATCGGCCTGCCGATGTGGTTGTGTGAGCGGTAAATTCATAACATCGCATGTGCTCCTCCAAAAGGCCCATTGCTTTGACAGCGCTGTCGGCTCATTTCCTGTGTTCACGAATCTTTGTCGCTAGGCGATCCGAGTCCCGTCTCTAAATTATTCAAGGTCACCAGCCCCTTCTCTGTTGGTGCTCGAGCTGTATAGACTCAACCGCATCATTCGGTGTACGTAAAAACACACGATCCTAATGTTAACAATTGCTCTGTATTTTTAATTGAAACTATCATTCGTTCGTATTGTACAATTAAAAGTTAAAAACACAATGTTTTAGGTTAGTGCAACACATGCGTTTGCAGTGTGGATGTGGCGTAATATGCTGGCTGAATTTCATTTTTAGTTCCTATACTTCAAGAGACTCTAATGGCTCCTTTTAATTGATTGCCTCTTCCACCGGTTGGGAATATCTTCATCCTTAAATTGACGCGAGTCTATATTTCACCATGGTTGAAGCCATATCGTCATAATGAGGCTTTTGTGTCCGGACGCCGGCCCGTGCATTGGGATTCTAGCTGGGCTCCCACTTGACGTCGCTTGTTGCATCGTAGCTCAGATGAATGTGGTGAGACATAATGAGTGAGCCTGATGGGGCAGTGGGGTTCATCGGCTATTTCAAGAGTGCGAACCAGATGTGTAGCTCACGGGTATACGCTGCGCACGGTTTATCAGTGCTTCCCAACCGGTGATCCTGTGGGCCACTGCTGCCCCGCAAGGCCATAGGAAGTCCCCTTCGGAACCTGCATGTGCAGATTTTGATTTTACAATTTGCAATATTATTTTTCGGAATGGTGGTTCGCAAAATGTTTTGAGGGTTGACGGTGTTCTGTGGGTCAACAAAGGGGGGGGGGAATCACTGCAATGGATAATATAATGTTCTGTTTTTTTTTTACTAATTTACTTATTTACAAGGTGAGGCCCACTGAGCTAGATAGCTTCTTTTCAGAAGTGACCTGGCCGCAAATGTTTGCTCAATTAAGTGGCTTATCATGTGGAAATTTACATCAGCCAATTAATCTACAATTGTTTTGTGCATTCGAAAGAGCTGCCTAAATATAACGTAAGCAAAATGCAGAAAGAGCTTAAAGATGTCAGTAATTGGCTTTGTTCTGGGCCCACCTTCAGTTCAGAGTGATTTTGAGTGATCTGTTCAACATTTAGCCATGTAGTGTATTTTCTTGGTTCTTTCGGTAAAGTCACGTAGAAAGGAAACAATAAAATAATACAAATATAAAACAATAAATATTTTATTGTTTCCCTTCTACGTGAATTTACCGAAAGAACCAAGAATATCAATCCCTGCAGTCATGAAAGCTTTAAATCAAAATGTAGTGTATAGTTGAAGCTCATTCAGCACGCACTCTATTTTGCTGTTCCTTTATTCCGCACAAAGGAGAACTGGGTTTTATTAATGTTTTATGTGCGCCGGTTGCATGACTGAGACCTGGGACCCATGGATGGAAGCTGCTGGGGACACACGCAGATATGTTTCCATTGTCGGTGGACATTCTGGAGTGCAGCAGACAGTGAATGGATGTTGAGTTCACAAGCACCCGGCTCACCTCTGTCACTCACTCCTCACGTTCCCTGCACTCCGCATGTCCCGCATTGCGTCCGGGGGCTTTTAGAAACACAGGCTTGGCAGGCGGAGCAAGTGCTGACCTCAATGCTCGCGCATCCTGACGCCCTGCGGATTCAACTTCCCCTGTCTGTGTCCATCTCGCGATTGTTCCAGCTGCTCTTGTAGAGTTCTGCATTAAAATTAAGACTGCTTCACTGCACTGGATGATTTCCAGATGACATAAGTTTCACCACCCTGCCCATCAGAAAACCCAAGACAGCCTGTCTAATAAAATAACATTGTATTTTGCTGGCTGACGGACCTGCAGCGTTGCGTCTTATTTGTCAAGATAAACGCCACGTGAAGCCCTTTCTCTCTCTTGCTAAAAAAAAATCGCCAGTAATTTGCAGTGGAAATCACCGGATAATGTACCAAATTCTTAAGCGGAAAATCGCTCATGGGTCTCATAAGCCATCAAGCCCTCGCTAGCTATAATAGTCATAGCGATTATTTTTGTTTTACCACAATGTATGACACATTACGGTATCTTCAGTGTTAACAATTCTGCCATGAAGCCATTGCTTCCAAGTAGACGAATAGTAATAGAGATTATGGTTTTGCTCTCTCTTTTTTTGTGCCTGAAGTGGTTGGTAGCATGGCTATCTCAAATGATAACAGCCACAATTGGCACATTTTTCATCAGAGTGGATAATAGTAACGGATCTTTAAGTATGCCATGTGCTTTGCAGAATGAAGCAGTGACCATGCAGTGATGTTACTAAAATTTACAATGTCGTGCCAGTCACGTGATAATTAATACATCTATCGTGTTGGGAGCTGGCCACACACAAACAGCTGCCGAGTTCAGTCCTCGGTGAATACGGATAAAATGGCGCTCATATTTCCTTAAATATATTTACCTTTTCACAATATAATTCAGTAATTGACATGTGGGGTTTTCTGAGGACACTCGCTGCAGACTTAATAATGAGAATGAGAGCACGTGATCAATGCATTCACAGTCGGTACAGCGCCACTATTTGAACAGTGTGAAGCCGTTAATGCATTTATATTTGTGTGTTTTCCCTATGTATTTTAAAGCTTTCAAAGCTCTCAAATGATGTCCGAATGGTAACGCCTCCCTTGAGTTGACTGCACGCTTCTTGCCATGTCTTCCTCCACTACACAGCGTACAAACAGCACTGGCATATTACAACTTTAGCATACAACTCATGTACAGCTCGCTCTCGTACCAGTACAAAGCCAGTTCACCAGCTCGCCTCTGGTCATGAATGTCTCGCCCCTACGTATACAGGAATAATTAAAATTGAATTGCTATCCTATGATGGTAACGGTGAACCTTGTGCCGACATGTCTCGTGTGTGTTTGCACCTCACCTGGTACTGATGCATCTACTACAGATCTCGTAAAACTCTTTACGTGCTGTTGGTGAGCGTCGTGGGTAGCTAGCTGTCAGATATATTGATGCACGGTTCACCTGTGCAGATTCACAGCTTTGCTATACCTCGACATAGAACAAAGACGGTCACTGCATCGCGCGTTTTCAGATGCGCTTCTGCAGCCATCTGGAATGCTCTTTCGATTTTAGGAAGCCACTGGAGTTACGCACTTTTAAATCACCTTGATTGAAAACTATTTCGGTAGAACTGCTCTTTGTGTTTAGTTTGTCCCCCCCCCCCCCACACACCTCCGATTTAGCACAGTTTTGGCTACTTACGGTGCGAAAGAAGTTCCTACATACATAGTCGGCTCACCTGTACTGTGATGACAGCTAGCCTGTGCTGACGCGTGGCTCGCCACGGCTCACCTGTGCTCGCAGTAAGAATGTGGAGCTACGGCTGCGATTCAACCACTTCGCCACCGAGTGCAGCTGGGACCACATGTACGTGTTCGACGGGGACTCCATTTACGCTCCGCTGCTGGCTGTCTTCAGGTGAGCAGCCCCCCCTCCCTCTTCACCATGCGTGCGATTCTCTAACGTCGCGAATCTCAATCCTGTGACCGTGCCCATTGATCTCAGCCACGGCTATGAGCGCACGCAATTCTTATATTATTTTCCTTCTCCCCTATCCATGGATGTTTTTCACAAAAGCGCCGTTGGGGGGCAATATATTCGACCAGCGTTGGCTGGAATGCGAGTGGGTGGGTTAGTACATTAACTGGGTGGTTTTTTGTTATTGTAATCCTTTAATCTTCTAATGCTGCATTTGGCACAGGGTGTCACTGGCTTTGGGAAGAGCGTTGCAGGGGGCTTAAGGCTTAATTGCTGTTGCGGTGTCATCATGTGAGAACAAAGGCGGCTGGCGTCAATGTTGGGATTTTTGTCTTTTATAACCCAGAGTTGCATTCACGAGGTTTCAACCTCCCCAGAAAGGAGTGGTCCACCCTGAACAGGTTCAGGACTGGTCATGGCCCATACCTTGCCAACCTCCACCGATGGGGTTTAAGAGCAAGCCCCCTATGTGGCTGTGGGGTGGAGAAAACTGTGCACCACATCCTAAAAGTCTGCCCAATCCACAAACTAAAGTGGAGGCCTACTCACCCTCAACACAGCAGGACTGGAAGCAACCGCTTGGCTTAGGGACTTTGCATCTGCTAAATAAATAAATACACTCACCGTGTCCACATTGAAGACACTCCGAGAAGCATATATTTCTCTCACTTCCCCAGAACAAACTCCCAGATGTTTACCTCCTATGTATTGGTGGCTCTCTTGATGGCTGTATTTCCCGGCACTGCGTGTGGACTTGCTTTGTGCGAGCCTTTTGACCCCAATTGTGACCTCCTATGTTTGAACACGAACCTAAATCACAACCTTGGCGTAGTCATCAGCATAGCCCTGGCTCGTTCCGTTAACCCTTTACTTACCACCCAACATAGCAATGCCCCGCACATTAAATCTCCTCTGGCAAGTATCGCTGTGTCTTTTCTTAGCCCTGCTAAGTGGAAGTGAAAACCGGAACGTTTCCCTTGATTTTTATACGGACATTGTTACGGGGCTTTGGATAAAAGTCGGTCTTTCTCTGCCTCTTCCCCCTGTGGTCATTTATCTATACCTAAGTTATAATATTTAGCAGGTGGTGGCATTTCTAATATAATGGACTGCATTCATTATAATGCCATACGTGTAATCGTGTTTTGTTGTGAATGTATTTTATGTTTAAATTTAATTTTCCAATGGGCCAACACTTTCTACGGTCGGTGTCCCCATACACGATGCGTTTCCCCACATCGAACGGTGAGACCTTGTACTGACGCGTGAAATACATGCAATCTGACTACCACGTTGTATCTTAACTCTCCAAAATACATGTATTTTGCTACACTGTGGCCAGAACGTATAAACGTGCCTTGCATATGTACAATGTGTTTTTTTTGTTATGTCCATTTTATGTCCCATTTTCACCAGTTTTGTTCCAATGTTCATCATGTAGTAAGAGGAATTGTACATTTGGAGCTTTTTCAGAGTAGTGCATCACCCTGTGGTAGAGAAAACGGCCTGTAGAAATGTTCTCTACACAGCAGTTAAGCTGAATTTTCATTTTATTTACAAAACTGGATTTTTTGTTGTTGCTAATGAAGTGAAAAAACGAAATCTCACACGATGTGGCTTTTTTTGACCATCAACTGTCACTACACTTGAGACCGCGTTTTAATCATGGGGCAGGCTGTGACACCTGGATTTGAACACCAGGATCTGAGCGGTGCCAGCCCAGTGCCAGGACCTCTGAACCACCCAGCCACACACATTGTTCTGTCCGCTTCCTAAAAGTGCGTCACCTTTTCTTTGAGAAAGTTGTTTGGTGTGGCGTGCAAATTGTACGTACTTCGGGAAGGAGTTGCGTGAACCGTTGACTGAAGTGCCTGTGGGTTTATGGAACTGGAAATCTGTGACAAAGAGCTTCATAGCTCATCGAATTCCTTCGGTATAATTAAAGATTCAGATTCGGGGTTCATCCAGTTGTTGGCGTCTGTCTTGTCTTTGCATGTAATTGGTTTGATGTTCGCCCTAAACTGCAGCGTTGAATTACACCCTGTAATATTTATTATTAATAAGCATGCTGGTCTATTTTAGATGTGTGCAAAATACCTCAATGTGAAGTACATGAAAAACTATTAATCATTCATTTAAGTCTACCAGCTACATCCGATACACTGGGAGTAGAACAACATTTTATTTTTGCTAATCACATTGGATTTTAATCAGTTACACTTAGCTCTGCACATTCTAAAATTATGAGTGTTACGCATATACGTTCCCGAATTAGCTTGCCAAGGCTAGTTTTTAATGGTAATTAATTTTAACACTCACGGGCGTGCGCGACCAGATGCATCGATGCTGAGACACTAGAAGGCAGGCACAGGCCTGGTCTAGTCCACGAACATCAAATTCACACCGTCAAGAGGGCACTTCCAGCCCCTGGAAGGAAAGTGTCGAGAGAAGGTTTGAGCCGCGCTCACTCGGGATTGCGTGATATTGATCGTGTTTTTGTACTGTTTGTTGTTGTCACGTTCTTACCCGCCCCTACTGGGCATCTGTGAAAAAGAGCTTTATAGCTCATCGGATTCCTCCTGCAGTAAAAATAAATATCATTCCAATCAGAGATGTTCGGCGCGAGAATGGGATCAGTTCTTCACCCAACCCCCACCGAAAGATGACCTCACGCAGGCACTCTCCCTTATAGCCAGCGTCAGTCTCCTCTCCGTCCCCCCCCCCGCCCCCACTGATCTTTCTCCTGCCACCCTTCTCACATCGCTTTCCCCAAGAGATGCACGGAAACCTCACGACTTGTCTTGTACTTTCATTAGTTTCCCTGTCATTGAATTAGATGCAACACAGATTCATCGCACAGAAAGGAAATGTGACCTCTGCTTGTGGTGCTTTCTGCAGCGCTGTGCTTCGAAGAGCAGTGGGCTTGCTTTGCCATGTGTGCTTGTAGGTTTTAAGTTGATATATACTCCACGCAAGTAGGAACATATGATGGCCCATCTTGATAACCAATCAGCCATCCACATGTACTTATGTTTAATCCATTGCTAATAAATGCGAATAAAAACCTTTAACAACGTTCAACCTTCAATGCTTATTAACAAGGATTTCTTAGTAATAGGTTTTTACCCTTTTATCTGGCACCAAAACTGACACCTTTATACAAAGGATCATCTGGTCCAACACCAGTGGAGACTAGGCTCTAAGAAAAGCCGTCTCGGGTGTAGACCAATCAATTTCAAGGACAGTGCATATCATTATCAGAGTTGTCTCTTTTTGTTTGCATTTTGACTGCTTGTGTTGTGGTTATTGCAAACATGATCCCTTGTATAACGGTGTCAGCTTTGGTGCCAGATAAAAGGGTAAAAACCTATTACTATATCTTGCTACTGGCAAAGGAGGTCTCATAGTGTAAAGGATTTCTAAATCATGTTGCTGTATGGGGACAATCACATAATTCACCACAGTTCATAGCAGCATTTAAGAAACTGTAGTATGTTGCAATCACGTTTGCCTGCAGATCAGGAATTTGCTTAGCTATAGATGGAGTAAACGGTTACAATATAAAACAAAAATTTATAGTCAGCCTGTTAAATAGAAAAAGTCTGCAAATAGAAGCACAATATGTGGCGGTCACAGTACGATTATTTTACCCATGGCCAGTTGCTCCACCTGTGGTCATTTTCTCTCCGCATGGCTTCATATTGGACCTATTTATCCATTCTCTTCGATACTCGCAATCTATTCGACTCCACCGAACTTGTCTATTATTTAAATGCGTACATTTGGATCATCTCGTGTCTGTCGGAAAGGTGTAGGCCATTGCATCGCAACAACATTTTTAGCAGACCAGAGACGATAGTGTCAATCGTAGATGATAACCTAAAACTATGTTAAACAAATTATTTGCTGATACTGCGTGGGCAGTGGTTCACAAGCACAATGAACAAAGCAAACTCAACGCATTCCTCAAAAACACTGCGTTAAAAATATATATGTATAATAGGCTATGTTATAGCTATATACTATTTACATAATATTTGATGTATTTTTTTCTTTGAAGGCGGTCCTATTGACAAATGCGTTGAGTTTTTTGTTGTTGCAAATTAACAGTCTTGCTAAACCTTCCAACGCTACACCGTGATTACATATTTGAACACATCTACCAGATGAGTGAACAACATTTCCATACATGGTTTATCAGGCTGGCGATCCTGAATAGATGATGCCAGATGGGTTTATGCCATTGGAGTAGTTTTCTTATGGCAACGAAAAGCATGAAACGTTTGTTATGGACCACATGCGTCGCCTTTTCGGGGAGAAGTCAACTTTATTTGAATTGCGACAATTGCTCGCGGCAGTGTATCAAGGCTGCAGAATGTCTTATTATTCACGCGCTTGGGACACATGCTTTTATAGTCTGTTACCAAATTGCCTTGGCCATGAAGTAAAAATAGCAGTAAATGTAAAGGGGGGGTCGAGAGAAAATTGTGTCCGCATGTATTATATTGTTTAATAATCTGAAACCCAACAAAAATAACGGGAAATTGTAAACGCATAAAATGAGATGCAAATTGAGATGCAGAAGTTAAAAATGTGCCTCTGCTGAATTGCGTTAATTGAGCGTGCAAATGTGTTTCCGCATATTTATTTGCTGCGGACATTTGTACTTTTGCTGGTGCTTGAGTTTTCTGCCTGTGTAGAAGCACGGAGCATCGTGCGTGTTTTATGTGTGTAGTGTATACTTAATGTGCTGCACTACAAACCCGGAAAACCGAGTTTAATTCCTGCTTACCATCAATATCAGGGAACGCCAATATCAGTGACGGCTTGGCATGGTACTGGCCACACCACCCCCTCGTGTGCTGTTATGGCCTCACCACCCCCTCGTGTGCCATTAATGGCCTCAATAGGTGCTACTCTGGGGATCTTTGTCTTTGTTT